GGTCTCCGTCGCTCCACAAAGTCGAGGTCCTCTGGGTTGATTTTAATCCCGAGACCGGCTCCCACGCTGGCTACCAAGGCCGATGGAGTCTCTCCCGCGCGTACCGGGATGCCACGAATTTCTATTGATCTACGAAGTAGACCTTGCTTGGCTTTGTTGACACGCACCTCAAGTTCACCTACTCTGGATTTCAGCATCTTATTTTCTGAGGAGAGTTCTTCTAGGCGTTTCGCTTGGGCTTCGAGGCGTCCTTCTATTTTTGTGAACGTCTCATTCAACTCGAAACTGAGTTCACCACCATACTTCTCAAGCGACGTTTTTAAATTTTGTATATCTTCATTTACCTGTTCACCGAGCTTGTTGACGGCCAGGAGAATATCCGATGAGGAGGGTTCTCTGGTGTCGCTCTTGGATGGACTGGGTAACTTATCACTAGCTGGGGCAGCCTTTTTGCCCTGCTCACACTTTTTACATAGCCAAGCTTTTTTTTTGTAATTTTATAGCGTCAATCTCCTTTTCACTGTAATTGCAACATTTGCCGTGAAATATTACGCGGCATTTATTACAGCTTAAATTATATTTATCGTCTCTCACGATAGGGCCGTCACAAGTTGAGCATTGCACCATTTTGTTGACAGAAAAAAAAAAAATTACTTATGTAAGAAAAGTGTTGTTTATCAACTTAGGCGTGTTGATGGCCTTTAATACTCTCCGGCTTAAGGGAATTAGCTACTTCTCTTCTCTCCGCCGCAGCTGGTTAACGAACTTTCTTCTATGTATAATGATTCGTAAATAAATATAAGACGCGACTATGGTGGATTAAAAACAAAAATACTATTGTGAGAAATTACTGTAAAAATGTTTTAAGAAATAAGTTAGTTTATGTGAAAAATGAACGAGTTTCACAGGAGTGATGTGAACTGTACACCATCTCTGGCCAGACTGGCCATTATAATGACCTACTCCAGCGAGTCATGGACCCTCACCACAAAACACATCAATCAGATTCAGGCCATGGAGATTCCTGTGCAGGGTCAAAGAAAAAACAAAGAGAGACTACATAAAGAACTTCACAATAAGAAAAACATAATTGTAAGACCAGCCGAAACTGTGATAGAGGAAAAGCGTTTGAGATAGTTTGGTCATGTCTCTCAAATGCCAGAGAACCGAGTGGCCAGGATTACATCAGAAAGTAAAGTTGGAGGAAGAAGACCTCAGGGAAGGCCCAGGAAGACTTGGCAGATTGGTGTCAAGGTGGCCTTTGACAGAAGGGACATTGACTGGAGGAGGAGGTGGTAGGTGACCCAGGATCTAGAGTTGTGGATTCGGCTCTACAAGAAGGCTCCGCACACTGCTCAGCGAAACAGAGGAAATGATTAAGAAGAAGAAGAAAACATCAAGTTATTTATAAAAGAAGTTGTTTAATTTATGCTTAATTTTCAATGTTCTCGAGTTATATTAGGTTTTGTTTCTACTTAATATGTTTTTTTTATTTTTAAAATTGTCCTATTAATGATTTATTATTAGTTATGGCCAGTTCTATGGGAAACTGTATTTATTTTTTCTTGGTGCCATGCTAGGTACACCATTGTGGACAAGCCCTTAGTGTAGGTGTACACTCCTTAACTGCAGGACCAGTGGCTGTTGATGGGGTCGCCACTATCCTATGCCACATATATGAGTATACTGCATAGATAAAAATCTGAGATATAGTATATTAGCTAAGAAAATTATGTTTTTACATTATATATATACTGCTCAAAAATGAACAGGAGTATTAGTCCGTGGTACAGAACCCTTTTTATCAAATTATTAACATCTGCCAAAAACTTCATGACTGGCTTCATCTTATCATAACTTACAAAACTATGAAAATTCTCAGAAATGGGGGTTTTCTCATTAAATTAACTAATTTATTTAGGTACTAAATACCCGTTTGCTTTCCAATTGAATCATAAGATAATTTGATCACAAAATAGAAAAAAAGGTGGTCTACAAAAATATTGATCCATTTGGCTTATGCAACCTGGTTATTTAGACATGTTGGGGGTAACTCTAAATGGCCCAATATTTTTGTAGGCCACCTTTATTCTTGATTTTGTGATCAAATTATCTAAAGATCGAAGTGGAAAGCAAATGGGTGTTCATGAGTTTTTAGTACTTAATTAAATAAACAAAGTTTGCCAATCTCTTGATTAAAAACCCCAATTCCAAAAATTTGAAATGAAAATGAAATGAAGCTATTCACGAAGTCTTTGGTGAATGTTCATAATTTGATAAAAAAAAAAAAAAAAAGGATTTGTACCACAGACTATATTGTTAGTTATGTAAGATTTATTTTCTATAGAATTTTTATTTTATCCTCTGTTACGCATTACCTCTGCACCTGTTGAGCATACTGTCTATAATTTTGTCATTGGTTTCACTTGTAATTTCATACCATAAATATGGTAATATTGCTCTCAGTTGCTGAAGGTTAAGAAGCTGCAAATGGTGGACAAAAAGCCTTCTTTGCAGTGCATCCCACATGTGCTCAATGGGATTGAGATCTTGAGACAAAGGGCCGATATGAAATGTCCTAATTTCCAAAACATTGATGGACAATTTTTCTCTTATGAGGTCGCGTACTATCGTCAAAAAAATGGAAATCTGTGCCAATTAATGTCCTGGTTTGAGGAATGTACTGCTCTATCATTTCTTGAACATAAAGAACTACAATGACATTACCTTTCGCAATATGGAGAAGAGTCCATTCTCCTGAGTTGATGCCAGCCCATACTATCACATTCCCAACTGTAGCCTGCATTTATATCCTCATCTAGGCGTTTGCTGCACAATGATCTGTGCAGTTGCTAGCGACGCACCGTTGCTGCAGGTCGTCTTAAAGGGGCATAAGATGTTAGTCCAACTTTCCACAAACAATTACAAATGGTGTGTGTTGGTAAGGTCCTTGGCATAACATTCAGCACTTTATTTAGGCTCTGTCGGGTACTATGAAAAGGGTTGTTTCTTGTAGTAATAAAAATGTTTCTGTTATCCCATGTGCTAAGATCCACTAGAAAGTCTCCTATTGGTACTTCCAGGTTTTTCTGAATCTGGTTAAGCTCAGGAGACCACAATCTGGGAGACGCCAACTGCATCGGCGATAACCACTTGCCAGTGCTCTTGACCACTCGTTCTCACTATAATATTGCAAACTTCTGGTTCAATATGATTTCTTTCCTTCGTTGAACAGAATATTACTGGATTAAAATTGAGAAAAGTCGAAAACAACTATCGGTTTAAGAAATGAGTATTCTTCAAGCTCACTATCCTATAATTAATAATTTATTACAAATAAAGAAGACTTACTTTTTATCTTTACCAACAAATAAACAAAAAAAATAAGGTATTTATTAATTATTAAAATTATTTATTAAAACAAATAAAATAAGCATCAAATAGATATTTCTCTATTCATTTTTTAGCAGTAATTATATAATATACACAGGGCATCCTATAAATAAAGAGAAATATTTAAAGATGTGATAGTACACCTCAAGAACTACAAAAAAGTTCATATTAATCACAGTCCGATTCCACACAGAAAAGCAGAAAATTTAAGATTTGTGTTTTTTTTTTTTAAGTCACATTTTTTATTGAATAGAAGTAACTAAAAAAATATTTAATTTGGATTATTACCACATACTTTATAGTAAACTAGACAAAATTTCATTAAATTGCAAATAGAATTTGACTTTGTTAAAACTATTTTAAAGAGGCCTTTAACTGTCTTTTTTTACTTTTTTCTTTTACACCTTATTTGGCCACCTTGCATATGGTGGAGGGGGAAAGGTTATTCTACAGGTATAATCAGAGTAAACTAGACAAAATTTCCTTCAAAAGCATGTAAAGTTTGTCTTTGTTAAAACCATATTTATATTTTATGGGGGAAAGTGGCTAAACTACCCTGAATCCTGTTTTTCATAAAATCATGGATTATTTATTTATTTTTTTATCAAAAAAATCGAGCACTGAACGTATTCAAGTACTCTACCAGTACTTGAATACCTTCGGTGCTTGAACCGATATTAATATAGACTTAACGCTCAAGGTGGGGGGGTGTGTTTGTAGTTTGTACCATGTGAAGCAATTGTTTATTGCCTAAATTAAATATTTTTGTAGTTATCGTTACAAATATATATTTTAAAAAAAAGTGTAACACTTAAAAATATACAAAACTTTAATTTCCTGCTTTTCTGCAAAAAATCAAAGCATGGTTTGTATTAATTTTTCTGTAACTCTTAAGATCTACAGATCTCACCTGTAGAATATCACCCCTTTAAATATTAACCTTTACTTATGAGACAACTTGATATACTGCATGCAGCAAACAGGAATGGAATAGTTCAATATAGGCAGAAGTGGAACAAGCTGGTTAAAGCAATCAAAGATGTACAAAGTCTGCAAAGCCAATAGTAATATATATATGAATTAAACATTATAAATTTTGTGGTAGTTATTAAAGCTTTTGTTTTTTTGATTTTAGCAATATTTTGCATACAATTGTGATAGAAAGCTTTATTCAATAGAGCTATTTTCAGAATGAATACATCTGCTTTTGATTATTTTTGCTGTTAAAAAAGTGTGGTGTTATAAAGGCCATTTTGACAGCTAAAGTTATATATACTTATTTAATTTGACAAAGTTTTTCTGTTACTTGTAGTTTAAGTAGTTTCAGTACCTGTTTCCTGCTTTTAAGTTAAGTTTTATGGTTTTGATGTACCAGAGAGTAGTAGTTACAGATTAATTTACACTTGTGGTTATCAATATAATAGATTGATGACACAAGATAGTCCTGTAGTTTTAGGATCTTTTTTGTATAAACTTTTATTTTTGATATCCAATGATTGTGGTTAAATAAATATTTTATATATATTTTGAATTTGATGCCTCATTGAAGATTTTTCCTATTAAAAACATCATATCATATGTTATGATAATTTTTTCCTTTTTTTTAGTTAATTTTTGAGAGCAATAATGAAAATCAATATGGCCAAAGAGATCGTCCGAAATCTTTACAATTTCAAGTTAGTAGAGCACTACTGAGTAATGTGAGAAGTGTTGATTGTTGCAGTAGATCTGATTTGGCTAAATGTCTGTATGCATCTGAGCTTGGCTCTCTGTTTTATGGTTCTGAGTTTCCTGTTAAAGATGGAGATCTTGTTGTGGTTTCTAAAAAATTTCTGGATCATGTTGATGGTAATTTATTGATTTTTAGTTTAATATAGATTTATTAGAAGATAGAGGTTTATAATGTTAATTTTTTTTTTCATAAAAATCTTTTCCTATTATTTTATCTCTTATATGTTTCTATTTACTTTTTTTGGTAGGTAAAGATCATGTTCGTTCATTAGTTGAAACACTTCCTACAGGATCTATTGCTGAATTTGTTAATGCTTTAAGTAAAACTTTACTCTGGACTGAAGCAAGAGATGTTTGGTAATTTTTATGTCTACTAACATATTTTCATTTATTATCATATTTGCAAGTACTATTTTGCCAATATATTACTTAAATTGGAAATTGAATTAAAATTTGAAAAAAAGTGCGAAGTAATAATCTGTGTGTAACTTAGTAGTTATATTACATTTGAATGTGAATGATTTAATAGTTAGATTCTAAAATAACTTATAATTTTTATCAAAATTGAAACTAGCATAAGAGTCTTATATAGGGGCATTTATTTCTTTTAAAAATTATCCTAATCTACAGGCATCTTAATCTTTATTTATTGATCATAGAAAATTAACACTATCATCTATAGCTTGTGGCCCCAAACTTATTCTTCTTCCTTTCTTGAATCTTTTACACTGGAAGGCAATGTATTTTGGATTCTCCTGGTATTGGCATATTAGACAGTGACTGCTGTTAGCTAGTCCCACTACATGTGCTTTACTAAGATGCAGCAGTAGAGATGAAATTTAAGTGTTGCAAATCATAGAGCTAGTGATATTTTCTGGTGAACTGCTTGATGGTCCTTACTATTCGAGGCTCAATTCCACTTGTAAAAAGTCTGCCATTCTTTCATTATTTTTCCCGCGCTACTCTTATCAAGTCCAATTATGGAACTTTGACATTTATGCGATGCATCTGAATTTGATTTTCAATTTTGTCTTCCAATTATTCCACTCATGTCCCAGCATCCATTAGAAATATTAATTATTGTTGTCATTAACATGTTAGATGCGGCTAAGGTTCCCGGGTTCCATTCATCTCGATTTCAGGCAGGATTGTTTTGAATTTGGCTTATCTTACGAAGTCTCTAAAATGGTCATTTTAAAAAATATTTGAATGGGAGTTGGATAGATGTAAAGATAAATGCAAACATAAATAATCATATCTGATATAATGCTATCGGACGCCGGGGACCATAACTGCAGCTAACGTGTTAAGTAACAGGAGTATGATTTTAAAAGAAATATATGTTTATACTTTCTTTTTTACAGATAAATTGTATCTATCAGCCCTCTGCTATAATGCACCTTTGTAAAAAATTAAAATTTATTGTTTAACAAAAATTTTGTGAAATCTATAATGAAGTAGCAGCTGTTATAGTGTGTTTTTCAATTAGCTTGTGTTATTGTTAAATAGGTGTATTAATTTGGAACCACTTTGGGGAGATTTTTATGGAGCACGTGGTATAGCACACAATCGCCCTGTTGCTTTTTTAGATACCTTTCCTTTGAAAATATGGTTGCATATGGAAGGTCCAAAAAATGATATACATGCATTGGCATACATTTCCAACTTAATATCTATACAAATCAACCATTACCAATTGCTCTTTCTTTTGAGACTGGCTGATGAAATGACTGAGGTAAGTTATCATTGTAGAGTGAATTAATCATTTTTAAACTGTATAAAGATATAAACTTATTAAAGAACCTCTATCTGCCTATCTTTCTCTATCCTCTGAAATTGCCCTGTGCTCAAGTGTATCTCCTCTTCTTTTCAGCTCCTATATTAAGACCTACATGATTCAATTCTCCATAGTTCCCATCACCTTAATGGAGATGATTCTCAAATATATTTATCCTTTTCTTCCCCTGAGTTATTAGTAGTATTTGCAAAAATTCAAGAAGACTTATATCGAATCAGTGCCTGAGCAAACTTAAACTGATTAAGGGTAAATTAAAACTTAGGCCATTGTCATAGGTTCCAAGCCCTTTCTCTGATCCAATTCCAACTATCCCACACTATACTTAAATTATCAACCCATTACCTTCTACTCCTCTGTTAAAACTTAGACTTTTTCATTAATCAAACCCTCTCCTAGAATTACCACATTTCCCACATCACTCAACGATAAATTTCCACTCTAAAATTATTCCATCGCCTCCGCCATCTCCTACCTGAACCTACCCGTAGACTCTTAGTTTCTTCCCTCATCTTGCCCCATTTTGACTATGGCTGTGTGGTGTACGGTGGTCTCTCAGTGGATCTCACCACTACCCCAAGTTAAGGTGGCTCTTCTCTTCCTGCCGTAGACAATATTACCTAGCCAGATTCCTCTATTAGATTATCCGTCGCCCCTCCTATACATATGATCTTCTCCAATTTAAGTTCTCTGTCCACTCTCTTACCACAAGATCCTGTTCTTATGACCTTTATACACCTTTTCCACAGATCTGTCGCTTTCCAAAACTCCTTCATTGCCCACTCTGCTTCTCTCTGGAATTCCCTACTTTTAAAAATCTGGCATGCTCCCTCCTTATCCACCTTTAAAACCCTCCTATTCCAATTCCTATTCTCATAACAGTGAGAAACCAGCTAACTGCATATTAAGTAATAGTTTAAAAAACAGTGTTTTTTATTTTTTCTTATGTATTACCTATGATATCGTATATTTATTTTTCACACCATCTTTCTCTTGAATACACGGTTTTATATATATGTATATGTGTGTGTGTGGGTGTATGTGTGTATGCATGCATGTGTAATAAATGTTGTAATTTTCTTTTATTTATTGGAGAATTGGTGCTTATTTATGATTTTTAAACTTATTTTATAGAGAAAAATACATTTTGCCTCAAGGCAAGACTCCAAGAGATCCCAGCGCTTCTTTCTCAGCCGCATCACTTGAATGGTAATTCAGTGGAGACTGAGAGAGGGTACTAAAGCCACATACTCTCATGACTTGAGTGGAGAAGCTGGCCATTGTCAGGACTCCAGTGATTTATTTAAAAAAGGTCTTGAGGTCACTGCCGTTTTAACCTTCTAGGAGGATTGTAGGGATGACTGGAACTGAATAAGGATTGTGCTAAGAAATTAGGAATTCATTAGGTTCTGATGAAAATTTGAGAATCAGAATGGAATAATGTCTAGGTCATAAGGGATGTTAAGGTCATGATGTAGAGTTTTGTTTGTAACATTATAAGGAGCATTGAATATTGTACCAAGGACTTTAGATTGGAAGGATTGGATGCCTTTCGAAAATTTAGTTGTCCCCCATAGTACAAGACCTCAGGGCCAGATGGGTTTTAGTATGGTCTCGTATATTAATTTGTTTTCTTCTGAGAGATAAGAGTTTCTTTTAAGTAGTCTATATAATTGACCAAATCATAGGTTAATTACTTGTCTTTTAAGTCTATTATGGGGGGGTTTCATGTTAGTATTTTGTCTAAAAGGAACCCAAGATACCGAAATGTGTCTGAGATGGGAAGAGGCACAGAGTTAAAAAGGATTGGATTGAAGGGTGGACAAGATCGCTGTCGGAGGGTAAAGGTTGACATGCTTGCATTCGAATGATTTTGATGCGTCAATTGTTGCACCACTGCTCAATTAGGGAGATGTGTCTTAGTAGGTTTAGGGATGCTGTTTCAGGGTCTGTTTGGGATGACATGATAGCAGTATTGTCAGCGAATGTTGCTAGGAAGGTATAAGGATGGGTTGGGATATCAGCTGTGAAAAGGATGTAGAGAACTGGGCTTAGGACACTGCCTTGTGGAACACCAGCCTAAACTGGATAATAATAGGAGAATTCGGTGCCACAGCGGATTTGAAAGGTAGGATTTGAGAACTAGGTACAACGATTTGTGTAAATGGGTTTTGAGCTTGAAAAGCAAGCCATCGTGCCACACCCGGTCTAAAGATTGCGCTATGTCCAGAAAGGCACCAGTGCAATATTGCTTGTTTTCAAGTGCAGACGATATATGGCCAACAACACGAAGGCCTTGTTGAACAGTGGAATGTCTTGAACGGAATCCAAACTGATGTGAAGGGATATTGTGGGATTTGAGTATGGGTAGGATGCGTTTGAGAATAATTTTTTCAAAGATTTTTGAGAGGATCGGGAGCTAGCTTATTGGCCTATAGGATGAGATATTATTGGCAGGTTTACCCGGTTTAGGGAAGAGGATGATTATGGAGTGTTTCTATATCAGAGGAAAGTTAGTTACGCGGAGAGTACAGTTATATAGGTATTTGAGGAATATGATTGCTTTTTTGGGAAGTTGTGTAAGGATCTGGGAAGTAAGGAGATCGTGTCCAGGAGATTTTCGTAGTTTCAAGTTGTTTATAAGGAATTTGATGTCAGAGGGGATGACATATTTAGGAAGCAAGGAGAGAGGAATCGTAGAAGAGAAGATTACTTTAACTTCAGCATTGTGGGTGGGATGGAGTTCAGGATGGAGAATGAATGTATTGGATATCTGTTTGGCTAATTTTTCAGCTCTAGTCTCATCATCTCATTAGAAGAGGGGGTATGAAATAGAGTGGTATGTAAGGATTTTTTTGGTCACTTTCCAGAGGGAGTTGTCATCGTTAGAGAGGATAGAAAGGCAGGAATTGTAGCATTGGGATCTAAAGGAAGCCAGTTCTTTTTTAACCTGTTTGGCATAGTAATTGCATAATTTCTGATCATCAGGATGCTTGGTTCTTTGCCAGAGGGTCCTAGATTGGTGTTTGGATTTAATAAGGTCAGCAAGGTTTTGGGGCAAAGGATTCTTTTTAAGGAATTTTTTGGAGGGGAGTGGTGGGGATGCAGTCCATACGGCTTGTTGGATCAAGGTGGTGAAGAAACTCACTGCATTATGTAGGTCTTGAGGAGTTTTTAGGGATACTTTGAGGTCTATTGCATCTGTAATTGTTTGGCAGAAAAGATTCCAGTCTTGGGCCTCAGATGAATAAGGGAGGATATAATTTGGGGATAGGAGATGCGGAAAGGGTTAGGTTTAGCAGACTGTAGTCTGAGGAAAGCCGTGAAACAGAAATTTAGCAGCTCTAGACCTTTGTGAATGAAGAAGTCAAGGAGGTCAGGATTATGGTTAGGATCAGTTGGCCAGTATGTTGGAGTATCAGGGAAAAGAATGTTGCTATTATGGGAATTAAGTGCAGACAGCAATGTTCGCCCACAGGAATTTGTGGTTCTGGCTCGCCACTGCTGATGTTTGGCATTAAAATTTGAACCTATAACGAAATGGTGTCCTAAAGAATTAAGAAAGGAAATGAAGTTAGGTTCAGGAATTGCTATTTTAGGTAAAGACTATGCTGCGACAACTGTTACAGGAAAAAGTGAAGTTTGGATTGTTATTGCTGAGGTTTGTTTGGAAATTATGAACTGGTAAAGGATACAAGTGATGGGAGAGGGATTGATGGCTGATGACAGCAGTAGCAGCATGTGCTGTTCCATCAGGGTAGTCAGTTCGATAAATCTTGTAACCAGGTATGTAGTTTGTTAGTCGGGTATCAGTTATTAGGGCTATGTCAATGTTATTGTCCTGTAGAAAAAAAGTTAGTTCATTGATGTGGTTTTGAACACTATTTGCATTCCAGAGGAGAATGGAGAGGGGTTTTATTGAGGACATTTAAGGAATTCTTGGCAGTGGAATAAGATTAGATATGACATTTGTAAGTAAGAAGTAAGGCAATGAGCGGGGTGATAAAAGATCTAAATTCTGAGAGGAATGATGTAAGGAGGCTGGTAAGGTCATTAGAATTGCTAGTAGGAGAAACATAGGAGATTTATTGAGGACTGAACCTTTGGAAAAAAATATTAGAAACTATCTCTTAAAGTATTATTGTTCGTGTAATTACATTTAATAGGACTTCAAGAATCACTGAAACACCATTTCATATAGGTAGTTAATTTCTTTCTTTCTTGTTTGAAAATTAATTATCGTTATATATATAAAAAAAAAAATCTTTCGGGCTCAAGCTCCCCAAAATTTAATCCTGGATCTGCTAGTGCTAATTCACTAGTAATTTAATCACTTGTGGGAGACGAAGTAATAGGTGGTTCATAATAAATTATGAATGCGCAGAATTGACTCATTTATTAGAGGAATTTATTTTGTATTTACTGTTTTCTTTTCTACCCTACTAATTACTAATTGAAGTAATTAATAATTACTACCGCTCCTAAACCATCAGCTCCTAAATTGATTACAGGACGAGTAAACTGGGACAAATTTCATGATGATTTGGAAAACAAACTAGACCTAAAAATTCCACTTAAGACAAAAGAAGACATTACTGGAGCCATAGAAAAACTAACAGCATCAATAACAGACATTATAAATAATAACATCTTCATTAGTAAGATTGTAAGATTAACAATTGACAAAAGACTAACTTGCCACAGCATATTGGTATCTTATTAAAGGAAAAGCGCAGAGCACGATCAAAGTGGCATAGAACTAGTTATCCGACAGATAAAGCTCATAACACCCAACTGACTGAAATTAAAAAATACAAAATTCAAAATTTACTAAATTTTACTGAAATACTTACACCTACTAACATATCACTATGGACAACCACTAAAAGGCTCCTGAAATTTATTAACTGTAATCATCGGGAATTCATATTATGTACAAA